CCATCTGCCCAGAGTGAATGGGAGGAGGAGAGAGCACAGGGCAGTCTCATCACACAGACACAAGGTGTGCGGGCCCCACGTGTTTGCTCAGGCAGAGCAGAAGCAAAGCTGAGCCAGATGCTTCTAAAGGCATGGTCAGCCTCTGTGGAGGCAGAACGTGGGAGTGTGAGTCAGTGTGTGAGTCAGTGTGTTTGTGTATGTCAAGGTCAAATCAATCTGGACACTGGGAATTGTCTCCCTGATTATTGTCTGGAGAGCAGTGTTTTAAAATAGGAAGATTCCACTAACAAATAGCATAAAAAGGAATTTCTCAATGAAATTCAAGGGCACCGCAGACCCTCCTCTCTACTCTCCTTTCGGCATGCTAATCAGCAAGTTCTAGCCACCTCTATGCATGTACCAGCTTCTGGGAATTCTCAGTCTGTGTGGAATGTGATGACCAGAATAAGATTGCTGGTGTTTACAATCCATCCCAGCCTAGGAATTAATTAAAAAAGAAAAGCAAGAACATGGACCCAGTTCCTGCCCTGCCAGAAAATACTTTGTTTTTGGGCAGCCACTTTTCCTGCTGAGGCTCATGTTCTTCAGCTGTTACATGGAAAAGAATCTCCCAACCTCCTCACCAGGTTATAGGGAGAAAGCATTTTATATTCCTCAGAAAGCCATACAGATATAAGATGATGTTAGTTTAAGTTTCTACCTTTAAAACTTCCAACACTTCTATTATGTGTGATAGAAATGTATGGTTATCATGGATGATGTTGGATTAAAGGTGGGTCGTGAAGGGACTCGAGACTGTGATAGAATTGCCCAGTGTGAATTCACTCTTGCTGTGCCAAAATACAGTTCACACTTCTTCTGACACTCTGTGCCTTAGAGCTGGATTCATTCTTTATGTCTTGGTGCTTCCTGTACTGTTCTACTCTTCATACCTGCCCCATAAACGGGCAAGAACTTAGCACCCTCCCTGTCCATTTGCAGCCTTCTTTTACAGATGGTGCTGTAAGAGAGGCGACCTGCTGAACTGCCCTCCTGTGAGCTCATTGTTGCCACAAGGGGAGCAGGTTGCTCCCTTTTATGCATGGAGCACTTGGGAGAGCAAAGCTGAGGCCTCTCCTTGGCCATTCTCCATGTGAACTGCCAATCACCAAGTCCTGCTAAATGTGCCCTGATTCCCTCTCAGATCAGCCCCTTAGTGTGAGACATACTAGTCTGGCTCCTGAATCATAGACGTGTCCAGCAAAATGTCCTCTTCCCACGATCACATGCTCCCATCTCTGCCCTCCACCTACCCAAGACCTCAGTCTTTGTGTATCAGCCCCCTGCCTGACCTTGGGTAGCTCCCAGCCTTGGAAGGGAAGCCCAAATCAGACAACACATGCTTTCTAGATCTGAGTCCTGTCCCCTTCCAGCATCTCCATGTGCACTTGAACTCATCAATCCTGAACTATGCCCACTCGCCAAATGCACCATATACCCTTCTTAAAGCTCCATGCTTTTTCATTATTCCCTCTATAATGGCCCTTTATCCTCTCATTTCTATCTACAAAATTCTTACTCATCCTTTAGAAGTCTGTTCCAGAGTTACCCTTTGGTACCTCATTCATATTTTCTTGAAAATAAGCGACTATATTGGCAGTACTTACCTGCACAATTGCACAATTGCACCAGATCACAACTGTTAGCTAGTTTGTTTCCCCTCCTGGAATGTGAGCTTCCTAGGGCAAGGATCATGTTGTTCTCATCTTGGGATCTCAGTAAACAAGCAGAGTCCTGACAAATTACAGCTATTTATAAATATTTCTTAAGCAGATGAATAGGTGGATTCTCATAAGTAAAAATGGCACCGTGTGTTGCACAGTTCGCACGTGTATAATTTGTGGGGCTGAGCTCTAGTACAGAGCTTGTCACTCATTTATCCTTGTTAGGTCTTTCTGCTATTTTGACATTTATGTGACCTTCATGTCATTTCCAAGGTTGTAAGGATATCACCTACTTGAAGGAGCAACAGAAACTGGCCAAATGTGGCCTGTTTGGTGAGGTGGGCATCTTGTGTGTATGTATCATCGTGGATGGGTTATTCCCCTTCATCTCCTCCGTGTGACTTTGGGCAGCTGCTGTTACCCTGGAATTCATGAAAAGCAGATCTTCATGGTGATTTCAGAAGCAAAATTGCTATGTTAAAGCAAAATCCTTCCTACTGACAGCTTTGCTCTTCTCTGAGTTGAAGCATTCACTACCCAGAATTAGACCGGGAACGAGGAGCCCTCAGATGCCCCCCGCCCATTTGATTCCTGAACTGACTCACTCCTGAGTCTGCCACTGAATTTGTGTGGGCTGTCAGTTCTCCTGCTTCCCCTTTGCTATTGCAACTCAGACCAGTGGGTAATAAGCTAGTATTTTCAATTTTAGCTAATAATAACTCAAAGGGTAAAATGAGAAGCATGTTATTTTTTCTTTTATATTTTACAATTCTATTCCATGCTTTCCATTATTTACACCACTGAGGTTTCCCTTCTTGTTGTAAGGTACACATTTTACTTAGAAGTGAGAGCTAATACCTGTTTAATGGCTTTTCTTCTGTGACTTAATTGACCAAAAATGGCAATGAATAGGCCAGAAGGTGTCACTGGTGTGTTTTACATCTATTTCAACTTTTTTATAAGATAAGATTTTGCTTGAAAATGTATTGTCGTAATTTATAATGGATATAAATTAGTTTCTCTATTTTCAAATAATCTCTGAAACTAGTACAATAAGAATTTAACTCCTCTCTAAGTCACTTTTTGGAAAAATAGTTGAAAGTGCATTTCATGGAAAGCAAACTTAGCTTATTTTTCTCTTTTTTTTCTGTTTTACTCATTTGTTCAATAAATACTAGCTAGACCGATTATTTGTTGCATGGATTTTCCTAGGCACTGTGAAGAATTCAACATTTTTTAAGTTACTGCTCTCAAAAACCTTACAGAAAGACAGGCAGAACGTCGACTAGACAAAGAGGTGTCACAGACCTGTACTGAGTGAGCCCTCCCACTGCCGTCCTCTGCGGTTTCCTCTTGATGGTTCTTTTCATCTTGTTCCAGCAGAGAGACAGACTCGAGAACAAGTCACTGGTTCTAACCCCTGCCTTTCTATTGCCTCAACTCTACTTCTGAACTCTTGAAATAAAAATTGGAAGCTGTATCAAGACTATTCTGTGAATGTCAGATTGTTATCTACCCACTGGCTCTGGAGTAAAGGAGATGGGGTCATGTGAATCAGGAAGAGCATGTTCTTCCTCAGATCTCTGTATCAGCCATACCTGCATACTTCACATCTAATAAAGTACTTGGCTGTGTTTAGCAGTGAATTGTTACCAAATTGAGGGAGCTTCCTTATTAACTCTTCTCCTTCCCAATTATTATTTAGGCCTGACCCTCATTATATCAGCCCCTCCCCCCATCATGAATGGGTACACATTCTTCCCTTAAATCTGTAAACCAAGGCTATTCTATGCCCTTCTTTCCCTTCCTGACAATAGGCAAATAATCCTTGACTCATAGAAGCACCTGGTAAAGCTTTTTAAGCAGTCTAGCATCACAGTTTTTCACCACGAATTTTTCCTTTTGGCCTCAGATGAGTCATTTTGTACACAGCCCCGGATCTTTTGAGCAATCTTCTGTAACTTATTCTGTTAAATTTACCCCCAGGTCATCAACCTCTCTCACATTCACATATTTTTCTTCCCACTTGTGGGGCTGTAATGACCTTCTTGTGCTCCCACTCCTCTCATGCTTCTGTGTCTGCCCCACTAGAGGGTAAGCCCCTTGGGGCATGGGTACGGTTTGATTGCTGTTTTGTACCCAGAGCTTAACTGGGTTCTAGAGTATTGAAGGTACTCAATAAAGGTCTGTTAAACAAATGCTCAGGTGATGGAGGCTCAGAGGAGAGGCACAAGCCCAGCCAGTCAGGGAGTTGGCGGATTTCAGAGGAAGGTACGCCTGAGTGGGGTCCTGAAGGGCGACAGCAAGTCATGCAGGCTGGAAGCGGGCCACCCAGACCAGCAGGCACTGGGCAGGGACAAAGACCCGCCCCTGAGAGACAGAGGCCCCCTTGAAAGGCAGGCAAATGCTGCAGGCATGTGCCTTTGGTCACCACGCCCAGGAATCAGCAGGGTGGCGTGCACATACTTGTATGCATGTGTATATGCATGTACATGTGTTCAGGAGATGGGACTTTAGTTTATAAATTAGTTTTTAATTAGATACAATAAAAAATTAACCTACAAGACCTGAAATATTTAGCCCAATGGCCTCTATCAAGCTAAACAACATTTCTATTAACTTTCTCATTATTTTGTTTCCTTAAGTCAAATTTTAAGTTTTTTAATCTTTTTCTGTTCTCTTGTAATTGTTAGCATTTTCACAGTATGTTTTAAATAGCTCCACTGTAGACGTTAGCATGGCTAAGTAAAGAGGCATCACCCTGACCACCTTGCGTAAACTGTCACGTGCAGGAAAGTCGCTGCAGGTTCTTTTCAACCTGGAGATGAATATTTAGAAAATGAGCTGCTTCTAAACTAAGGTTTTGGGTGGAACATACGGGTTCAGACACCCATGGTGTGCACTTTACTGAGTCCATGAAACACTCAATCTCATCATCTGTTGAGTGGAGTCCATATCACCTCTATATTCTTTGTAGGTATTCCCAAAATTGAAAAAGAAACTTACGTGAAATGAAGCACCCAGAAGCTGGTAGATGGTTGTGTTCACTTATGCACAATGTCATCTTCTGTTGCTATTTTCATGTTAGAAAATAAAAATTTTATTTGCTCTCCAACAACTGCAACAATATTATATGTGGAAAAATATGTACAGTAATTTAAATTGTGAAAGTTAAGCTATACTTTTTAATCTACAGTTTTAAATAGTGTATCTCTATGTTTGTAGCCAAGTGTGTTTGCATAGAAGTGTCTTTGCCTCATTAGCATGAGGATAATGTACATTGTAACTATTTTGTCTCTTAGAATGATTGAAGATAGTGGGAAAAGAGGAAATACAATGGCGGAAAGAAGACAGCTATTTGCAGAGATGAGTAAGTATAGAACTTTAAGGAGCACCGTACACTGGATGCTCATAAAGCGCTAGAAATAACCACTTACGGCATTTGTACTTTCCTAAATTCCTTGCATAAAATGTACATCTGGACATTTTTGTCTCCTATTAGGTAAGGGTTAAATTAGTCAGTGAATCCCCATAATTTGTTACTAAACTAAACATATTTTATATGAAATAAAAAGTTCCGTGCACCTAAATGTAAAGACACATACAGGGACATACTTGATGGGCACACTTGATAAATGCTATTTAGTGTGGCATGAATACAGTCAGTAAACTACAGCCTGTGTTCACCCCCTGCACTGTCACTGTGCCTGGTACACTGTAGGCACTGGATAAAATTCATGAAATGAATCATTGAATGTCTTACCTGCAAAATGATGTGTTTTCATATGGGAAAGAAGAGTTAGGCAGGATTCCAGACCCAATGATACGCTGTCATTTGGACTTCACGCAGGGGGAAGAATCTGTCCTACACCCAGTGTCTTAAAAGGAAAAAGGAGGAGCTTGGAGGTGACCTGCTGTACAGTGAAACCTAGGCTGTATTTACCAGCTGCAGTGGAGAGCCCACTGAATAAAGGTTCCTGGTCATGTAAATGCAGGTTCCTGTCTAAGCAGTCAGTTGGTCGTGTCTCCTTTATAGACCATTTTTTATTCATAAGCAAGAACTTGACATTGGGGGAAACCCATCTCTAATTAAATATTATAAAGAAAAGGGTACAATTCTCCTACTGTCTTTCCATTTCTCCTTCACTGCCTAAGGAACGAGGGTGAGCAGACTTGACTGTAAGCCTTTTTCTCTGAGAAAGCAGTAGGCAAAATTAGGTTTCCACTGAAGATTGGAGCTGATTGGCAAGAATGAGAGTCAGAGCAGATAAAGGAAAAGTCCCAGATAATAAAATTCCGATTTCCCTTTATCATTCCCAATGACCTGGTGGCAACAGGACAGCGTCAGAACTAACAAGGAAGAAAGAAAGTTAGGATTGAAGTGAGGAGTCCCAACCATACTCCTTGCTTTTTCCACTTTTAGAAACACATCTGAGTGTCGAGAGTCTCAGCCATGACTTCCCAGTTTCCTGGCCGTGTTTGGTAGTGTGTCTTCACTTCTGGCTTTGTGGCCTCTGCTGACACAAATCTAACAAGCCAGGAACCTAGCTACTGCCTGCCCATCTAAACACAATCTAAATGGCACAGTGTCTTCCCAAACCACAGAGTCTTAGACTGAAAAGGCAAGAGCCGCATATGTCATGGGCCAGTGTTTTGTCAAGAAAAGAAAAAAATTAATATGTAACATATAAAAGCAAAAAAGACTTCTGGGAAATCTTTGAATCTATCACTGTTATATTTTAGACTGTGTCAGCCAGCACATTGTAAGAATTATAAAAGTTGCTTTTAACTGATGATTTTGTGTATACTTATCTGAGTTTAAGTGTATCATCTCAGGTCCTTCGGCCTCTGGTGCTGTGCAGGGCACAGATACATATGTCACAAATGCCTTTTGAATTAAAGTTGTTCAACTCAAAGAAAGATTGACATAAGTTTTTTAGCCATAGAGACAGAGAAGTTGTAAGTTTTTCAAGTGAAAGAGACATAGGAAAATTGTGCATTTATTTCCCAAATTGTAACTTTCTCGTTTCACAGTAACTTCTCAGGGATGTCATATGCTTCATTAAATCATTGTATGTGTCCTCCTGATTTGTGATTGGCATGAACAAGCCACACAGATATTACCTTCCTTCCTTTGGTTATATCAGGTAATGGAATAAGATGTCGGTCAAAAACAAGTAGACATGTCTGACCTTGACAGTCTGAGCACCAGGGTTAGGTCACCACGGAGTAGGACATGCCCACAGTGAGTGGGATTCTGCTGGATTAAAACAGCTGGCTGATTTCAAATAGAGGGCTTGATTTTGATAGGTAGACAGCTAAATGAAGGAAAAAGGTAATCTCATTGAGAATATGTTAAATAGTTGAAAAATATATGGGTTACCCCAGCTCTATCAGTAGGACACCAAAAAAAAAAAAAAGACAAAGAAATTATTATCAAATACTGACATCAAAACTTGGGAAGTAACTTCTTCCTGGAATCTGTGATGTCTAGCCGGGAAGCTAAAAAGGAGGAACTTACAAATCGGGTCAGCTAAGTATTATCTAGAAATACATTTTTTTAATAGCAAAAGAAAGTGCCAAAGAAATTCTCTGCTTCAGAAATTACAAATATCAAAGAAAATTTGCATGTGAAGGAGTTTAGAAGGCAGGGCAGACTTTATGCAAGGTATTGCAAAAGGGGAGAGAGCTTAACTCCACTCCAGGGGGACAAGCAGGAGGGCTTTTAAGCAGGGGAGGGAGCTGAGCCTGTGCAAGGGCAGAAAAAGATAAAGTGGGGAAGTTGATCAAGTGGTTGTTTGCTGTTTGTCACAATTAAGAGGTTACCTCCTCCCTCCCACAGAGACTAGAAGGTCTCCTTCCAAGATGCTAGTGCAGAGGGACAGCTCCCAGTCCCTGGGTTGTAAAACTGGCAGGAGGCTGGGAGAGTTACGTCTCAAAGGGGCAGGCAGAGAATTTGCAGTGAACAGTGTTCTAAAGTAAATATTATAAGAAAAGGTTGGTCAGAGACCTAGAGTCAGGTAGAAGCCTGCCTAAAGTTTCATCACACTGAGGGAACATTGAGGTATCTTGGTCTTACAAAGCCAAAGAACAGAGAACAGAGATCCACAAATGATAAGAACACAATAGGAAATTTGTGAATGCAGGTGATGGTAGGTGTTTGCATTAAACATCTGCTCTGAGCTTTTAGCCACAAGTTGCTGAAGCATAAAGAAAGGGAAGGAAAGGAAAGGAAAGGCAGGGCTCACAAATAAGCAAATAAAGACTGACCTCATGGGTATTTAAAGCAATTCTGTGGCCACCTACGATGATCAAAGAAGGTCTGGGCAAGTTGCCCTTAACCAAAAATCCCCTTCAGTAAAATGCTCTAATTACCAGTTTATTTAGCACCAAGAGTTAAAGCTGGAAAGGCTCTGGTCAGATGTGAATGTCATTCTCACCTTGGCCTTCTCAGCCATCAGATATGTTTGCCAGACTGGCCGTTAGCAGCACACCTGGTCTGTTCTTGGAATTAAACTGGCCTCCTTTGTTTTTCTGCTCTTAGAGCACATTTACTCTGCCTTGTATGACGCGTACTTGTGAACATGGCATGTCATTCATTGTCGTGAGCTGTTCCTTTAGGACAAACCCTAGACCCTTACCTTTAATCCATTCACCTTAGGTGCTGAATCAGTGTTGATTTAAAAACCCACAGAGCACAGGATAGGTGAGTTTCAACAAAAGGAAAGTCATTAGAAAACACTCTTTCAAAACAAGGCTGCCTAAAAACGTGAGGTAGGTCACGGGGAAAACCGACCTTTTGATACCCTGGCCTCCAAGCAGAGGCAGGGCTGGAAACCGCAGGAAGACAGGTGTAGGAACACAGCAAACACCATCAGATTGTCTGAAGGCAGGCAGCTTCTCTGGAAGCTGACTGCAGTCAGAGGCACATGGCTGGAACGGAACGTCAGCATGATTTCACAGGGCACACCATGGGCCCTGGCAGGCACAATGCTATTTCCTCGTCTTCATTTCTGTGCTCTCAGCCCTGTATGATGGTGGTGTCAAGGTCACCATCCTGGAAATCCTCTTATGCCACCACCCTAGTCTTGTCTTCTGCTTTTTCTGACCACCATACTTCTCTTTTTCTGTCTCTTAGTGCCCTCCAGAACCCCTGAAGTCAGATTTTACCAGAGTTTTGTTCCTGACCAGTTCTCCCCATATGCTATTTGACTTTTTGTCCAAGGCTTCACATTATCATACAGCTCTGAGTGTTCAAGGAGCCCAAAACCACCTTCCATGCTCCCACGAGCCAGCCTATGCAAAATGGACAGCGTGTAAACTCCATGTCCCTTCCAGCCTTGCCGTCTCGCTGTCAGGGCATCCACTGCTGCAGCACCTTGCAGGGCCACACAGTTAGCTGCTGATAGTGCTCAGCACAAAGAAGCTGAGGTCCTCACCACTTTCCATATTCCTGGAGCCACGTAGTCCCTGGACGACCATCAAACATCTGGACACTGTTCAGAGACAGGGAGGAGCTCCTGTTCCCAGTTTGTGCCTCATTTTGTACAGTGAGGAATACCTTCTTGTACACAGTCTCCTACTGCAAAAATATTCCCAGCCTTGGCCCTGTCAGGGTGCACTGCCACGTTTTATGTTGGTTAATAATGCCTGGAATGTATTCCATAGACGGAAGGAGTTCCATGTCCATATACGCAGCTACCCGTGGATATCTCCACTTGGACATCCCACAAGTGACCCAAACTCTGAAGGCCAAAGCTGAACTTTTCACTTTCACCCACCTACAGACCTGCTCCTCCTACTGCCCGTCACTGACCTCCGTGTGCCTTCACACCCCTCTGTCACACACACACGTGCATCCTGGCAACTACCAATCATGGAAAAGAGCTCAAACGAGGTCTTGCTCTGCGTGAGGCTACTCAGACTGTGATGATGCCAAAGCCAAAAACTAAGTAGGGCTGATTCATTGGATGGCTGGAGAGGTGGATGAATGTAAGGGGAGAAAGTGGGAGGAATGGAGGGAGGTAGAGTGAGAAAGAGTAGAAGGAAGCAAGGAGGGAAAATCTTGAAAGGAAAGACTGGATTTGCAGGAGAAAACAATGTGATCCATCAGAATTTCCCGACTGCGTCGTTGCATTCATGTTCACCACTTCTCTCCAACTGTGGCAGGAATATGAGAGCTTTGAAGAAATGGTGTCAGAGCATCTAGTTGCCTTCAATGAATTAGCTTTAAATTTTTATTATAGAAAGTTTCCAGTGTATAGCCAAAGAAGCTCTACTTCTGCTCTACAGAGGTAGAGCAAACAGTATTCCTGTCTAGCCTTAATCATTCACCCCCAGACCGCACTCAGCTTTCTGGGTCCCAGACCCCGTTATGGGTCCTGTGCCCCTCGCTGTGTCTGTGCAAGCTCATGTGCTGTGTCCAAAAGCCTGAATTCCTCTCTCACCACATGTGCTCAGCCGGGAAGAACTTCACCAGCAGGAGACACTGGCAGACCTCCAGAAGCCAGCTGAGCATCATCTCTGTGTCCTTCTTTACTGCACCCAGAGAGATGCACATTTGCCAAATTGCACCTGGGTCCTGCGTGAGAGGGAGACTCTCTGTTCTCAGAGAATACAATCTGGCAGGAACTAAGGAATGTAGTTGTGTGCTGCATCATAGCGCTTTTATACCTGGCGTTTAAATTGCTATTCTTGAAGAGCTTACACAAATAATATATGTCCCTAATGTCTTCTTTTAAAGATACAGAGACTCTCCTGATTGTTGAGCTAAACTCAGCATCAGTAAAAATACTTCTCATCCCAGGAAAAGGCAGAGTTATGGTTCAGGCATCCCTCTGGCTCCTCAGCACCCTAGAGAGCTCATTTCTCAGGGGAGCCTGTCGAATTCACAGAAGACATGAAAGCTTAGAGACAGGAGACAAAAATAAAAAAAGACTACCTTCCTACCTGTAGCTCCCAAATAAGCATTTAAATGGAAAATATGAAAGATCTGACTTAATATAATTACATATGATTCTTAAAATCAGCTTTTTAATGAGTTGAAAGCTTAATAAGAGCCAGAAGAATGAGCTATTTAAAAAGTTGATTTAGTAAGTGTCCTTAACAAGGTAGTAATAATTGCTTTCTATATAGTCTATCCAGGTGAGGCAATAGCTGTGCTATTTGGGTTAATTTTGTGTATCTCATTTCAAGAAAATATTAGCCAGCCCTAGAGCAGAGTGACTAGATAGCTAAGGGTCTCAAAACCATGTCTGGTGATAATGAGAATAAAAATAGCGACCACGTATTGAAGCCCTATTGGGTTCTGTGCTCTATAGTGGACATAGTGATTGAAGTGGCTGTGGGGCTGGATGTCCTGAACCTTAGAAAGTCAAGGAGAAGCTACCTGCTCAGCTAGACTTTACATCGTGCCATGGTGTGCATGACCTTCAGATGGCCCAAAGGTGCTCACAGGGGCCATGGCAGCTGCTTTGCAGGGTTTGAGAAGTGAACCATCCACCAGCAGGGAGAAAGATCATGGGGCTCCAGAAGTCAGCTAGCACAGGCGGACTAAAGTTATGGGAAGCAAATCAAAGCTCAGATATAAGAAGACATTTCTACCACTGATCATTGCTCAGAAATGGCCCAGGAAACCTTTTGAGGGATCCCATGTATTAAGCACGCACTGTGTACCAGCTGCAGAGGTCACCAGCTGGCAGACTTGATATTTCTATCCCCATTTCATATGTGAAGAAATCAGATGCCAAGTTAAGACCTGTCAAAGTTCACACGATGAGGAAGTGAAAGCTTAAGGTCACTGACTCCAAGGCTCATTTTTGTTCACATCCTACCGTTGAAAATAACCCTATGTGGGCATCACCCAGATGTCCATCTAGAGAACATGACTAAGAGAATTCCTGCATGGTAAGGGTAAGTCCTACCTCTGATCTCCAGACGTCTAGTGTCAATGAGCCTGTTGGTCAAGCAATAAACTCTCATAAGAACGAATGTTCAGTGATCTGCCTCACAAAACCATATAGTAACAGGAGAACTGACAGTACTTTTAAGTGAATCAATGGATCAGTTTGAGTTGAGGGACACCTGCTCTCTCATTACGATGCTCTGAGTCAGCTTCCTAGTATGATTTCTTCTGAGCCCGCTCATTTCCTTGCTGTCCTGACTCTTGTGTTCTGAAGCATTCATGTAGCACTCCTCTGGCCCCAAGAAAGGTCAGTGCAGGTCAGAAGATAGCTCTGTGCCTTTGAATCTGTTATGAACCATAAACATGGGCTTGGAAAAAGTCAAATATTTACAAGTGGAGAAGAACAGACATTTGTTGAAAGTTCTGTGTTCTAGAAACAGCCCAGAGAGCCCAGAGATACCTGTCCAGGGAGCATCACCAGGAGCTCAGATGAAACAGTTGGCCCTCCTGGCAGGGCCACGGGGCAGAGGGCAGGGGGCACGGCGGGCCATGGGGTAGCAGTGAGGTGATGTGATGGGGCCATGGAAGTAGAGGCAGGTTTGCAGGACAGAATGAGGAATCATAGTGGGTGCTCACCTGGCACTTGCTGGGTGAGCACAAGGCCTGGGCACTCCAGGCATAGTCACACCTTTATTACCCTCACAACTACATCCCCCACCTTCCAGATGAGAAACCTGAGGCTTTGAAAGCAACTGGCCTCAGGTCACACGTGGAACATACCAGCGTTCAGTGCACTCACAGCTGGTCGCAGTCCCTTGCGGATGACTGATGGCATTCCTGTCTGCTGTCACATGGCTGTGCGTGACAGCTTGAGTGGATTGCTCTCAGACATGGCGCTCTCTTCTCCTGGAATCTGAGGACTAGGGGCAGACCTGTTCAAGTTGTAAATGTATTTATATTCTAACAGAAATAAGAAGCACGCTGAGTGCATGGCTTATGGCATAACTGTTTGACATCTGTGTACCTTCCCCCAGGGGCACAAGACCTGGACCGGATCCGCCTCTCCACCTACAGAACAGCCTGCAAGCTGAGGTTTGTCCAGAAGAAATGCAACCGTAAGTATGCCAGTTGTTTGGCCCAATCACCTCCTGAATCTTGTCGTTTACATTTGTTACTCAATTTACTGAAAACAGATTTTCTTGCAAGTATTGATAAAAATATGTTTACATGACAAAAAATCCAGTGTTGTGCTACCCAAAAGGCAGCTTAGTGGCCCCAGGAAGTGCTGACTGCCCCTCACGGCCACAGCCCTGGTGGATGAGCTGCTGGACCTCGCATGACCTGTTCCCAGGATGGTTTATGTCTTGATGGAAACTTCTTTCCTCTTTCCGCGGTATTGTAAATTCAGGACCACCAAACGGTTTCCAAGAACTTTATAACACATTAAACATTAAGTCCTCCTCATATTTATATTTTCTTTACAAGTACAGGAAAATGTTTATAAGCTTCTGGAAAACATTTAAATCTCTTTCTGAAACTACAAAATTAGCTCTTCTTATCATAGTTTGAGCTACATTTACCTACATCAGATGTAGGAAGAGAAGAGGCAATGCTTAAAGAAACAAAGGAACTTGCTCTGGCTTCTTCCCAAATCTTAAAGCCAGATCATGATCTCGGTGGGCAGCTTCACACACACCCTCCCTCCTGGGCAATGCTTCTGCTGAATTACCACATCCATTTGGTCAGAAAAAAATTGCTTCACAGTGCATGGATACGAACTTCCTCTTTTCTTTTTTGAAAACTGCTATAAAAAATTAATGACTGTTATCATCTAATTAGCATTGGATAAATTAAGAAAATGGAAACCATACTGTCCTCGTGACATACACATGAGTCTGGAATGACCAGCATGGGGCTTAGACCTGGCGGCGGGTAGACCCACCACCTCCACATCCCGGCCTCCCAGCGCCCCTGGCAGCTGTTTCTGGGACCCGGAGGCTCGGCAGTCACGACTGTGGGGACGGGATGGTCAGTGGGCAGCTACTCCTCCAGCTCCTCGCCCGCGGGAGTGGCTACGAAAGGGGTTGAAGTTTGGGACAGGAGAGAAGGGGATAAAAAACAGGTTGGCCACATGTCAGAGATCCCGCAGGATGCCGGAACGATCCAAAACCCGAAAGCAGTGAGGCAGCAGTGCCCAGCAGGCTGTGGCCACGCACGCAGTCCTCGCTGGCTGGCTCAGGGCTCTTCTCCAGGACAGGTGTCAGAGGACCGGGATACGCCCCCGCGGAGGGGGCACGAGCCGGCGGGGCCCCGAGCACCCCGCGGAGGGGGGACGAGCAGGGACGGGTACTCTGTTTCCTTCAAGCCCTGCCGAGCAGAGCCTTCCTTAGGCTGCTCTGAGCTTTCTATATAGTCTGAGCAGAGATGGGCGTCTGGAAAAGTCCTTGCAAAAGGGTCAGGGTGAACGAAAAGCTAAGTGACTGAGAAGGAGAGGGAACGAGGGGGAGGGCACAGGGGCAGCGAAGGGCCGGGCACCTGGCAGGCCCACAGCCAACGCTGCCGAGACCCTAACTTCCCAGCCGGCCCTGCGTCCCCCCTGCTGTCTGGGCTTCTGCTTCCCCTTTTCCCGTCTGGCCCCATCCATGTCCTGCACCCAGAGTGGTGCTGTCCTCACAGTGCCCTTGGAGAGCAGTAGGGAAGCCAGCGATAGTCCATCCCCAGGTGCAAACAGCTCAGACCTGCCGTTTACCCCTTTGTTTAGTGAGCTTGTGGGGAACAAGCCACTTGCAGGAGGGTGGCCAGCACCCAGCTCAACACATGCTGGGGACCAGGCGCAGGGCCGCGGTGGGCAGGCGCCACCCCACCTGACAGTCCCAGGTGCAGTTAGGTAGATGGACTTTTAGATGGACATGCCTGAGTGGCGTGGGACTGCAGAGAGGAATTTGGGCCCTGGTTGTGGGATCCCAGGAAATGGGGCCCTGTCCTGGGTGGGAGGGCCGCTGAGAGAGGAGAGGAGCTATCTGGACTGATTCTTTTTTTTTAATTGAAGTATAGTTGGTACACAATATTACATCAGTTTCCAGTATGCAGCACAGTGGTGCACCAGTTACCCACATTATTAAATCCTCACCCACACTAGTGCAGTTACTGTCTGTCAGCACAGGGAGATGTCACAGAGCTGTTGGCTCTATTCTCCAGCTGCACTTCCATCCCCATGACCAACTTATATTATAATGGAGAATTTTTGTGCCCCTTTATCCCCCTCCCCCTCCCCACCCACCCACCTCAGCCCCTCCCTACAGGAACCACCCGTCACTTCACAGTGTCTGTGAGTGTACTGCTGCTATTTTATTCATTTTGTTTTGTTTTTAGATTCCACAAATAAGTGAATTATAGTACTTGTCTTTCTCCACCTGGCTTATTTCACTGAGTATAATGCCCTCTGGGTCCATCTGTGTTGTCACAAATGGCAGTTTTCTTACAGGACTGAGGAATATTCTGTTGTGCATACATACACCTCTTTATCCACTCAACTGTCAGTGGACACTCAGGTTGCTTCCATATCTTGGCCACTGTAAATAATGCTGTGACTAACATGGGGGTGCATATATCTTTTCAAATTAGTGATTTTGTTTTCTTCAGGTAAATTCCCAGAAGTGGATGGTGGGTCACATGGTGATTTCAGATTCTGAGGAACCCCCACGCTGCTCTCCACAGTGGCTGCACCCGTTGGCACCCCCACCAACAGGGCAGGAGGGCCCCTTTCCCACAGCCTTGCCTGCACCCTGTATTTCTTGTTTTGTTGATATTAGCCATTCAGACTGGTGTGAAGTGATACCTCATGGGTTTTTTATTGTATATATTTTTTATTGAAGTGTACTTGATATACAATATTATATTGGTTTCAATATACAACATAGTGATTGAGTTATTTACATTATTAAATTTTCACCCCAACGAGTGCAGTTACTGTCTGTCAACATAGAAAGATGTTACAGAATCATTGGCTGTATTCTGCATACTGTACTTTCATCCCTGTAACCAGTTTCTATTGTGACTGAGCCTAATTCTGAAAGAATTAGCAGACATTATGCAGAGAAATGTTATTTGCCCTACAATGTATCTTAGAAATTTCATACATTTCCAGATGGGAAAAACATTACATTCTATATAAGCTAAGCAAAATTAAGCTTTAAGGAAGAAAAACAAGCATATTTTAAATGTTCTGCTAAAATCGAGCTGCTTTTTTAAGTTGTTTCCACCTGGTCAGAAGTGTTAAATGCAAATAGTGTATGTGTCCACTGAGTTTTCCTTTCTGACAAACATGACCTTCGCAATGTTAGTATCTCACCATGCTACCACAGTTGGGCCTGGCTTATCTTAATCAAAGGTGGAGCCTGCCTTTTAGGAAGATAACAGGGAGCTCAGTGTTTATGTGACAGGCTATCAGTCAGCATTGAAGATACAGCCCTGTATCAGGGGAAGATCGCTTTTGTTTGCAGTAGAACCTAACCCACTGTAAGTCATGTATCTTACCATGGAGATTTACCCTTACAATAGAAGAAATGAAAAAATCCAGGTAATATATTAGTAAGTATGTCACTTCGTTGGAAAATCAATATACTGTTTACTTCGTGGGAAGCGATGGACCTTCACTGAGAGCTTGTTTATTTTCAGGCCCAGACCTTATTTATGGTAAAATTAATTTTTGTGTATTGACAAAACTAAGCTTTAAAATCCTATAATGAAGGAAAAAGCAATAACTGATACTTACAACGTCATCACCTAGAAGAAAATAAATGTTGTCTGTTGATAGCATGGGGTTTTTAGGTTTTCAGGAGATTTATCTTTTATCTAAATCCAGACATTGGAAAGGCTAGTTAATTCTCCATATTTACCTCCTGGCAGCCCTGGCCCACTAAGTTGGTGGTCTCCCACAGAGAGCTGTGGTCCCTGTCACCAACGGTCATGTCCACCCCCCTTTAATGCAATTCCTGATGGATGCTGAGAATAACTGGCTCCCTGTATTCTAGAAAGTCTCCTTATAAGAGACAGAAAACTGGCCTATGGACTTAAATGTGGCCCAGCACCTGTTTTTGTATAGACTGTGAACTAAGAATAGTGTTATACATGTAATGGATTTGGAAGTGGAGAACCAAGCTGTGACCACAGTTATGCAGAATGTCAGCCCCTCAGAAGTGCCAGTCCTCTCATTGGCAGTCCAGCATTTTAAAAAATGACTCTACTATTATATTTCTAAATTTAATCAGTAAAAATGTTGTGGAAATTTCCTTTCTCTCACATATATGCCAAAATATTACTACACAGTATAGTGGTACCTCTTGGTCCACAAAAACATGTACTAGCCTCTGCTATAAAAGAAGAGTCATACAACCCCCCTCTTTTTTCCTCAGACAAAAGATCCCTTATTCTTTCAGCTTTTCTCCATGGGATCTGTTTCCAAGTCAGCTGCTTCCCTCACCGTCCATCCTTGAGCCCTGTCCCCTCCGTCCCCACACCATGAATGCTCATCACTAACGCAATACAAGAGTGACTATCTCTGAAAATTAGCAAAGAGCAACTCAGCTATTTTATTTTCTAGGAGGAATAGGACAGAATGTAGAGTACAAATAATATTCCCAATAATGCTTTCTGACCAACATTAGCTTCAGGTTTCCTGGTAACTTTTCACAAAAATAAATACCCTAAATGACAGTTATAAACGTGTGAAATGGCAACATGTCAGCCTTTATTTTAAACAAATAACTATTTCCTCCTAGGACATTATTTCCTCAGTCAGCATTGACATGGTTAATGACCCAGACGCTCTATCATGTCAGCAGATCTTCAGAAACTACTTTGTGGTCAAAGGAACACAGCCTCAAGTTCAGACACAACATAAGGCACTGAGAGACGTAAAACAGAATCTCAATTCCCTGCTGTTTAATAGTGGGAACAGACGTAAGGAGACAAGGCCACCCTCCCCACACCCACACCTACCGGTCCCACACTGTATCATGGTTCTGGTCACAGCCTAAATTTCCTTTCTGTCCTATCAACTAAAACTTAATTTTGTTTAAAAGGAAAAGAGGAGAAAAAGTATACATTTGCATCT